CTGTGGAAGAACAAACAGATGTGATCTGAAAAACCATTATTGGTAGAAAAACTGAGGCCCTTTAGCAGCCTGTGACTTGCCTGAAATTTTGCATTAGAAAAGTATTGAAGTGTCACATCTAATAAATAAGGTACAGTTCTTTGCGTTATGGTGATTAATGGAGCTGATAAGCATTTAAATAGATATCTAGCAACAGACCAACTGCAGAGCTGTCCTGCACTGGCAACTGTCTTCATGAAGTTGCAGCTAAATACTCTATATCCCTTAACTGGATGTTTCTTTTACTGAAATTAGGCTACAACCCACCCTTAAACAAGTAAGCTTCCAACTTTCTATATGCTTGCCCATCTGGGTTTTTGGTTTGCTTTCCTGTAAAAAAAAAAAAAAAATATATATATATATATATATATATATATATATGTAACTTGCAAAGAACTGAAAAACAAGTTCTTTGGTCAGCACAGACCACTTGAGGAAATTAGTTCTTCCATGAATGTGAGATGACCAAAGAAACAGATATTTCTCTTACGTAATTCTGAGTCTCTGGGAGCTTAGTTGTTTGACCTGCAGTTCAAGTTCCACCCTCACATTCATGTTCTAATCCTCTTCTTCATATTTTGTGATCCTCAAAGTAAACTGCATGTTTTTCATTGACATTCTGTTCAGCTCTTTTCCCTCCCTTTGTTTTAATACACAAAGGGGTCACAATTTTACTGTTGTCCCACTTTTTCTTTTTTTTTTTTTTTTTTAAAGTATCTTTCCCATTTTATATACCCCCTTCAGCCTGCAGTACCACATCTTTTCCATAAAGAATTCAGGTGTGGGTTTTGTTTGGTTTTGGTGAGGAAGGATGCTTTTATGTTGAGGCAGACAACTTCAGTTCAGGGTATTTAGGTTCTGCCCACAGGGCTTTTTACAATGTTTTAACAGTTTATTTAGCAAGTCATCACTTGACTTCTGTGGCATTGCTAAAAAAGATGGGAATAATACTTCACTATTTCAAGCCAATGCAAAACTAAAATAGTGCTTTTGAAAGTATGCTGAAACAGCCGCTTTCCCCTCAAATAGAAGGTGCATTGGAGGCACTTTGTTAGTGTTATCTACTTACCCAGTCTCATCTGGATTTTACATGTTTTTGCCCTGTGGTTGTTTATGTTGAGTAGGTACAAATGCTGGAAATATGATTATATGCTGTGAAGTAAATTGCTCTTATTTGCTGTTTTGTCCATAAAAGCTTCCCATAGGAGCTCAAAGGTAATTTAAGCCACGTAGGAGTAGTTTTTATGCACCAACGAAAATTTTATCCTCTTCAATGCCCTGATCACTACCTCAATATGACTTGTGTGTCCTCTTCTCAAGAAGTTTAATGAGGGGCCCATGTGCAGTGACAAGACTAACTCATCAACAAAAAATTGTGCCCAAGTATGCAGAAGAAGTGGGAACTGCCTCAAACAAAGCTATAAAAGTCTTGCCTAGTTTTACAGGCTTTACAGCCCCACTCGCACGCATGCTTCTGTAAACCTGTATTGCATACTAGTGGCTTGGACTAAGAGGACAAGACTCTTCTGGTATTATGGCTTTGGTTGTGCTCTGAAGACAGAAGCATTCTTCCTCTGAGGGAGGAACACAGCACTCCCAATCCAGAAAACACAGAGTGGGAAACAAACCAAGGTGTTCTGCGTAGCAACACAGTGTATTTTATCCAGCATACTCCACAGAGGGAGTCTTCTGTTTATGCCAGTGAAACTTCCCCATGAAATGAGAACTTATTTCCCTTCCCCCTAAATTTGAAACAATGCAGATAGGGCTCCAGTTCACCAGGCCCAAGATGTTACAAACCTCTCTCTCACTTCTCACCTGGAAGCTGTGCATTCTGATGTCTCTCAAGTCAACATTTATCTCCCCAAATAAGTTGTAGGAGGAAAAAAGTTATTAAACTCCTGGGATAAACTGGTTCCTTTTCTGAGAGATTTTGTTCCCTTTCCCATTGCCTAAGAATGTCATTGTATCTGCTGTTTGCTGAGCAGGAAATGCATTATTAAAGCAGTTTCTCCTCCATAAACTGCTTTGCATCTGACTGTTTCATTGTAAATCCATAGCCACAAAGTCAGGCCACCTTGGGATAACCCAACGTGAAATCTGACCTGATGAAAATGGTTCATGCCTCCCGGCCTGCATTGCAACCTGCGAGAAGGGCTTTTATTATTTATTCAAAACCTGTTTAAATCCCCCTTTTTCTGAAACAACCATTTTAAAAATATTAAAACGCCACAGCTAAGCTGGGAGATTAAACAAGTTTAAACCTTATCATCGCAGGTGGGATATTAGTTCCAATAAAATGAGGAGAGATGGCAGGCTGCATGGTAACTGGAGCCCCTTCTACTCAGTAACTAATCACTGAGAAAGCATTTGGTGAAGGAGGGGGAGAGCGGATGAGGGAGTGAGACAAACAATGCATCCAAGCTCCTGGCAACCCTAACTGTTTACCATGGTGATGCACAAAAGGAAGAATGCCATGCAGAGTAGCAGACCTGGATCTGTCCCCATAACACTTGCCCTAGATTCAAGTACTCTGAGAAGCTGAAAATGCGACCTTTGGATATATTTTTTGCATGTGTTGGATGCTGCGGCTGGTCAACACTGTTCTGAAGTTGTCAAAAGGGTACACAGTATTTACCTTTATATCTTCTGTTATATATTTTTCTTCTAAATGTTCAGGTTTAAGTGCAGCTCTACCAGATCTCTACTCTTGTACCTATACTTTTTAAATTGAGCCTTTTTGTTTCCTGCCAGTAGTATTAACAGACTTATTGCTTCATTAAAAATAACCGAACTAACAAAAAGGATCAAGTTCTAAATTTTGCAAGGGAAGGGATGACTTTAAGTTCCCCTTCTCTCCCGCCCCCCATGGGAATAACACTTCCTAATGGGCTGGTCCTGTTCAGGGCATCATAGCTCCAGCTTTCAAGTCAGGAGTAGCCCACTGGAACAACTTCACTATCCCACAACTAGGTCAACCCTTATCTTTCTCTTCGCATGGTCCTCCCACAGATGCAAGCTCGTATCTAGTCCTGTGATGCAGAAGGACCACAAGTTGAAGCACAGAAGAAAGCTGGAGCCCCAGCACACAGGTTGGACACCTAACTCTTGAGGTACGTACAGAGGAATCCTGGAAAACCTAATGAAAGTGCAAAGTGAGGCTTTCATCAGTGCAGATACTTCAGCATCTGACTGGTAAGAGGATCATTTACTGCCAAGAGAAATTACATTGGTTGCTTGCAAATATTCACCTCATTTGGTCATTGCACCTTATGTATCTGGTCCATTTCTAGGGCATCTTCCCCTAGGACATGATGTAAAAAAAAGTGCAAGCCAGGTTTTGAAACCTGAGTGAGAGGCAGTAACCATTCAGTCCTATTTCAAGAACTCAAGTACACTGGCCATGAGAATCTTAGGAAAACTCTAATATGTAAAAATTCACTAGGATCCAAGTAGCTGGAGACAAAACAGCTTGGAACTACATTACTCCTGTCCCTCACTGTTGAATCTAACAAAGTTTTGAAGCAGAAACTAAGACCGCCACTCCTCCATATACAAACACACTATAAGGACAGTTGTTCGAAAGGAGAAGGAAAGCTTTGACAGCCTGGAGCTGGCTTATTTGGGCTGAACAGCTTTTGTATGGCCATCGTCGAGGAAAACGCTGGGCATACGTTAGTCTTTTTTTTAAAACACAAACCTGTTTCTAACAGAAGAATTTGTGCTTTTACCATGTATCACAGGCACTTAACTCCTTAGGCAGGCAGGCGGTGTGATTTGTATAAACCCAAATCATTAAATAGCCCTTGGCCTTAAAGTGAGGCAAGTACCTGCCTGAGCTATGTACTTAAATTCTTAAGTGAGAAAACAAGGGGGGTAAGGTTAACAGAAGCCTCAGAGAGCTAAAAAAACAACCAAGCAAAACACCCAGGAGAACTCCTGAGTAGTACATCCAGAAAGAAATGGGAGAAAATCTGAGAAGAGCAAACAAGGAGTTTTATCAACTTTGATGTGTCAGTGGGGCCACCAATTGGTGTCAAGGACTGAAACGTAGTTGAAATATTGGTAGAAAACCTTATATGCCTTTGCTATGTCGCTTAAGATCAAGAAATAATAAGACAACCAGACTGCACATCAGGAATAGTTGTGGTACAGAACCAGCTATCAGGGTCTATACAAGCACACCTGCTTGTGTACTTGCTGCCTATGTTGCAAAGACCTCAGCGAAGCTCTCTGCCTTCTCTTTTCATGAAAGAGGACTGAAAAGTCTTCTTTCTGACTGAAAGGACACTCCAAGGAGTAGAACAAGGTTGATCATAACAAGTTAGGTATCTCCATGAGATTCCAGTGAGTAGCACATAAGTAAACCCACAGACAGGGCCTGTGTGGGGTGCAAAGCATCCCCATCCGTTTTCTCTTGAAGGATGGACTTCCTACTTGTGAAGTGGTTCAGGTAAGTTTCCTACTGGGAACTTCAAAGGATTAGAGTGATTGCCCCCCCCCCCCTTTTTTTTTTTTTAATTTCCCTTTCTCTTAGTCTTCACAGTCTAGGATATTTCCTTTTTCTGAAAGCATCACAGACAGTTCCTCCATATTCAGTATTCCCATATAGAGTTTAACTTCAGGCAGGGGATAATCATTTCCTATCTCAGCTATATTTGTCTCTTCCTATTTATGCCTATTCCTATGTATCAGCAGCCTATAATTACTGTTCGGGATGTAAAGCATGTTTAAAACTTCAGGTTTAAATATTCATTGTCTGCATCACCATTGTGATGCCTGCATCAAAGAGACATATAGAAAAACCTCTTGATCTGATGTGCATGATTTTAAAACACCTCTATTCAAGGTTACTTGCTGTTGCCTGGTTTGCACTTTGAAAATGTCACAAAACAAGCCCTAAGAACCCATTGTGCTGGATGCCACAAGTAAAATAAATGAATAGCATTAATAGCAACAAATAGAAGTGATACATAATTTTTTTTATTTAAGTGTCATGGCACTCATTAAAACCCTGGAACTACAGAGATCCTCCACAAAACACGCAGTACTGCCTTCTGCTCATGATGTGGTCCCACAATTCTAAGGTAACTGTGTCCTCAGTGGAAGAGTTCCTTAATTTTGCATCTGCTTTAATGTAAAATTATATCAAGTCTCTTCTGCATGCAGAAATTCAATCCCTTACCAGACCGAGCGCAAAGTCCCTCTGTATTTCAAAGTTTCTGAAGCTTTAACACAACGGATGCCGCACAAGGCATCCCAGCTGGCAGCAGGTTCAGCAGCCCACAGGTAGAGACCCACACTTCCAGCCGTGGCCCACAGGCTTGAAGGTAAGATCCCATATGCACTTCTGTTGCACTAACCACTTTGAACGTACAAAAGAAAGATTTGCATGTGGAACTTCACCTCGCTGCTCTCTGAGAGCACTAGAGAGGCAGCACCGCAGATCAGCTAGTTCTGGCATCTAAAATTCAGTTGCTCCACAGCTCTGCTTTTAGAAACCAGGTTTTCAAACATAGGCAAAAGACACCCCCCGAGGCAGCAGAGAAGCCCCTGTCACACCGCAGCAATGCAACAGACTTTTCACGAGTGACCCGTGGAGGCTCCTGGCGCCTCCTGCTCCCCGGCACTCCCCAGCCTTGGTCTGCGGCGACACCTCCCGGATGGCTCGGGGAGCGGCCCCAGAGCAGGCGGCTGTCGGGATCTCTTGTGCCAGAGGAACAGCACATGCGTCCTCTCCTGCCGCGGTCTTTTGTCTGATACTCAAATTCACTACTTGTAAAGATCCTTTTGAATATAGATATTAAGACTGTAAGACTGGGCCCAAGAATTCAACATCCCTTGGCAGCCCTTTCCCAAACTCATTCACACAGGAAGGCTGCACTTTCGCTCTCTCCAGACCCCTAACCCTAGCCAGCACCCCGATCCAACAGCACCCCACCTAGGGCGGATTTGAAATAGTGCTCACATTGGAGAACTTTGGGTAGCTCTCATCATCCTTTGGCAGCCCTTTCTTAAGCACAGCAAACAGAGGCAGCAAACAGAAGCAGCACTTTACACAGCTGTGTCCAGGCTCTGGTTAGAACTTTTGAGGATCTTGGTAGAGGTTGTAGGTAGGGTCTCCTGAGGAACTAGAGGTGATTATTGCCAGTCCTCTGATCAGAGGTGGATTCAGCTGACTTGACTGTGAGGTTCAAACACCCTGTGAGTCAGTGCCAGAAGAGGCCCATATAAGAGCCAGACTCAGAGCACAACAATCAGAGGCAATGGCTTGTGCAGAAGGGTGCAAGAGGTCACCTTTGTTTCCAATCCTTGTAGCACATTCTTCCTCAGATATGGCCATGACACACCACAGAGCATATTCCCCAGCAGCTGCTGGAATCACTGCATCAGCTGTCAGAGGTCTCAACCCAGACAGACCCCTGACAGCAGAGGTGTTTCTTCTTGTCTCAGTGCTTGGGGCCTCTTTGGGAGGCCTGGACTGAGTCAGCCCTCCCGTAGAAGGTGTGCTGTTGTCCATGAGCTGTGCTGTCAGGTAAGGGAGTTACAAGAGGAAGTCAGCATGTTGTGAAGCATCTGAGAAGATGATGAAGAGATGGACAGGGTGTTCATGGAGACCATACAGCTCCAGGAATCCCAACCTTGTCCAGCAGTGGAGTTGTCAGAGGGCTCTGCACAAAGTGGTACATCATAACACCATAGGAGAGGGCTGCAAGCTGGTCACTTCTCACAGGAAGAGAAAGGGTTACTCCTTACTCCTCTTACTCCTTCTGAAGCCTTGCCATTGAGGAACAGGTTCAGTGCCCTGCAGGCTGAGGAAGAGCTGGGCAAGACTTCAAGGGAGGCAACTGCGCCGACAGAGCCTGTGCCCAGCAGCAACACCTGGAAGAAGCAGCAGGTGATTGTGTGACTCCCTGCTGCAGGGTATGGAGGCACCTCTCTGCCGACCTGACCTCGTGTCTAGAGAGGTTTGTTGCCTGCCAGAGGCTTAGATAAGAGATGTCATGGAAAGACTGCCAAAGCCTGTTTGTGAGTCAGACTATTACCCTCTGCTGCTCTTCCATGTGGGTGCTAATGACACCAAGGGTAAATTAGAAGCCATCAAGCTTTAGAGCTCTGGGCATGGTGGTCAAGGGCCTGAGAACCCAAGTCTTTTTTCCTCCATACTTCAAGTAGATGGAGAAAGATACAAAGAGGAAGAGAGATATTCCAAGTCAATGGCTGGCTACGCTGCTGTTGTTGGCGACAGGGTTTTAGTTTCTATAACCACAGAACCCTGTTCGAAGACCAAGAACTGATGGGAAGAGATGATCCTCCTGTGGAGTATCCTCTTGCAGCCCTCCTGGGAAACCTGTAGGCTGTCACCTCCCTGAAATGCTTGTATAGCAATGCATGTAGCATAGGAGATAAACAGGAGGAATTGGATCTGCGTGCAGTTACAAGAGTATGAGCTCATTGCAATTACAGAAACATTGTGGGATAGCTCACATAACTGGAATGCTGTCATGGAGGGCTATATGCTTTTTTTAGGAAAGACAGTCCAGGAAGGTGAGGTGGAGTTGCTCTTAATGTCAGAAAGCAACTGGAGTGCATTGAGTTCTGCCTAGGGGTAGATGAAGAGTGTCTTGAGAGCTTATGGGTAAGGATTAAATCAGCTCCACGCCATGGCTGATGCTGTTATGGGTGTGTTTGCTATGAGCCAGCTGATCAGGAAGTAGATGAAGCCTTCTGCAGACAGCTGGAAGTAGCCTCACAGTCACAAGGCCTGGTTTTCATGGGGAATTTCAACCTCCCTGGTACCTGCAGGAAAGACCACACAGCTAGGCACAAACAGCCGAGAAGCTTCCTGTAGAGCTCCGATGACAACTTTTGGACACAGGTAGTCAAGGAGCTGAGGAGAGGTATGCTGTTAGACCTTGTATTAAGAAACAAAGAGCTGGCTGGAAATGTGATGGTTGGAGGCAGCCTTGGCTGCAGCAACCACAAGATGGAGTTGGGGATCTTGCAAGGAAGAAGCAGGGCAAGAATTAGGATTGTAATCCTGGACTTCAAGAGGGCAAACTTTGGCCTCTTCAGGGACCTCCTTGGAAGAATCCCATCAGCAGGGCCCTAGAAGGGTAGGATTAAAGAGAGATGGTCAATATTCAAGCATCACTTCCTCCAAGCTCAAGATTAATGTATCCCTACAAGTAACAAGGCAAGCAAATGAGGCCGGAGACCTGCATGAATAAGCAAGGAGCTCCTGGCAAAACTCAAACAGAAGACAGCATGTGGAAAAGAGGGACAGGCCACATGGAAGGAATATTGGGAAGAAGAAAGGATGTGGAAGTGGGTCAAGGCCCATTGGGAATTCAATCTCACTGGGGATGTGAAGGACAAGAAGGACTTCTTCAAATACATCAGTAGCAAAATGAAGGCTAAGGAAAATATGGGCCCACTGCTGAATGGGGCAGGTGCCCTGGTGACAAAGGATACAGAGAAGGCAGAGTTACCAAATACTTTCTTTGCTTCAGTCTTCTTCACTGACCCTCAGGAACCTCAGGCCCTAGAAAGGAAAGAGGAGGTCTAGAAAACAGAGGACTTCTTCCCCTTGGTCATGGAGTATCAGGTTACAGTCATTTAAGCAAACTTGGCACCCACAAATTCTTGGGTCCCAATGGGATGCACCCACAAGTGCTGAGGAAGCTGGTGGATGTTATTGCTAGGTCATTCTCCATTATCTGTGAAAGGTCACAGAACAGAAGTCAGAAATACCTGAGGACTGGAAGAAAGCCAGTGTCACGCCAGCCTTCAAAAAGGGCAAGAAGGAGGAGCCAGGAAACTACAGGCCAGTCAGCCTCACCTCCACCCCTGGAAAGGTGATGGAACAGCTCATCCTGGAGGTCATCTCTAAGCACATGGAAGACAAGATAATAAGGAAAGTGTTTTAATAGTGGTTGTGAAGAGCTCTACTGCTTCCTGGCCTGGTGAAGAATTGTCAAAGGCCCAGAGCATATGCCCTGTAGAGACAAATGCAGGCAGTTCCTGACTGTAAGTAGAGAAGAGCACATGTGCACACACTTTGGAATTTAAGTTTCAGTTTAGCCCCAGAACTCTCCCAAATTGTACAAAGCCTTTGTTCTGGCTGTGACGTTTGAAAGGTAATACATGAGAACTTAACATGAGGTGCTGCTTGCGGATCTTTTGTAAAGTCTGTGGTGCAGCTGAGTCATTTCCACATTAGCCCCGTGCAGACATTCTCATTACTGATGCCTGTTGTACTCTAATGGAAGTGGAGAATTTGAGGCCTCTATCAAAGATGGACCCTTCTAAAGTCTGAGCAGCAAGAAAGAGTCCATCACCTTCTTGCAACAATTTGGGCTTCCCCTAGCAAAAGTAAGTGCCTTCCATAGCTCCGAGTCACACATCACCACTGAAACAATTCTTCATACAAGTCCACCAGGTGGAACAGCCTGGTGACTGCAGTGGCTCAGAGGCCATGTGGCCTCAGCTAACTTTGTGGGAACCTGGATACTTGTACATCCTTCAGTCTGTGCTGCTACACAAGTACCCTGCCACATTGCTCTTGGAAGCAAAACTTGGGATTTCATGCAAACTTTAACCTGCAGGTTGTTGAAGCTGGATACTGACAACAGAAAACAACTGACCTCTTCATACTACTGGAGGCAGCTCCTGCAAGCTCGGTCATATCCTCTCAGGTCTCCTCAGCACCACATTTCACTAAGGGACAGTTCTTATTACTCCAGAGACAAACATGCAACAGAATCATGACAGGCAGACACACAAAAGCACACCAAATCTTCTTAATTTAAGAAGTGGGATCCTGAAGTGTTTTGACACCTGCTGTCAGCTGCTATATTGTGAGCAGCACAAGAACACTGGCTACAGGACAGTGTCTCGCTACACTATTTACACCCCTTCCCTGAAATGGGAGTTAGACCTGTAATTGCAGAAGTATTCCTAGATGCTTGCTTTTCAGTCTCAGCTCTTCTCTATAATGTTCCCCACTCTATCCCCCTCCCCCCCAGCCCCTCAACAGAACAGCACATACAACTTAACAGAACATAACAGCTTCTCTAAGGCCTCTTTGCAATTCTACAGGCTTTTGACACATTCCTCAGGAAGCACAAGGCCTCATCTAGTGAATGATTCAGATAAATATCAGCCTGGCAGCTAAAGATGGAGCAAGAGATGAATATAGAACTGGCTCGAGCTTTCTGGAACCTCTTCGCAGTCTTCAGCCTCCTCCCCTGGTTCCCATCTTCTTTGGAAAATAAACAGCTCCGATTGTTGTGCACTTGAGATTATGAAAACATCAAGTCCATTAGTATTTGGCAAAGTGCTCTCTCATTTCCTTCTGATGTAATAATTGAGAGAGAGGGAGAGGAGACTGCAAAGATAGCACAAAGCACAAGTTAATGACCTTCTCGCATGTATGTGTGGGCTCTTTTATAGGGAGCCTTTTCCAATCCCCATCTCGCCTCCACTCATACTGTTTCAGCTGAAACACTGCTTCAATGTGGCTTTTATTATTTGATCTGATGTCCCTTGGCTGGCCTTCAGAGGCAGCTAAATGGCAGGCAGGTGGGGGTCTGAGAGACAAAAAGCAAATGGAGCTAGTGCTTCAACAGGCCTACTGCATACAGTCATCGAAGCTTCACTCTCAGCAGGCAAACGTCACTGTAGCCAAATTCTTCTTTGCTGCTTTCACTTCTGTTACGCATTTAAGTTAATTTGTCAGGGTGTTCTATTCCCCTCTGTGGGAGATTATTTGGAAAACTGTAAGCCCAGTATGATCAGAACATAGGTGGAATGACCAGGTGTAGAGAAGAATCAGCTGTTGAGGGAAAATTAACTGAGGTTATTGGTTGCCACTGTGAAACATTGGACCAGCCACCCACTTACTGTGTTGCCAGATTTGTGGCTTTTCTTTAGGTACCTGGAGGCAAATTAAGGTCAGATAAATTCCACAGAAGGGTGTAGTGTTCCCTATTTCCTTCTAAGGACTTGACTTCTGTCTTTTGAATTGCTCCCAGAAGCCTCCAGAAATGTGTGGCTTTCCACAGTAGCTTAGCTGGAACCTATGCCAAAAATGCCATCTCATTTTGACAAAAAAAAAATCTTAGTTCTGATCATGAGTCTAAGTTCAAGTTTTAAGGAAACGAAAATTACATTTGTCAGAGGTAGTTTTAAGTTTTGGTGATCTACTAGGGAATAGCAAATTACTAGGCTTCCTTAGCAAAAACTGTGATAATGTGGATGTTCATTCTCCATCACAGAAGTCCACTGACAACTGCAGCTCGGTCTAGCTCTGTATCAAGTCTCCTTACCCCTACAGTAGGGAGCATCCTAGAAAGAGGGTGCACATGCAAGATTACAGGAGGTTTCAGTGGAACACCTGCTCCTATAGATAGGGCTTCTGTCAAGACTGCCAGTAGTGCCAGAAGGCAAGTTACATATTTCCTCAGTGCCTGGAGGAGTTCTCCCCCTTTCCCCAAGATAAGGTTGTGCATACATTTGTTCCATTTGTATCCAAGACTGTTTTAATAACAGAATTAAGCAAGTTTTGTCTGATGTCTCAGCAGGGTTTGGACTATTCATTTTTTGGCCAAGGCATACTAGGCTTACATGTTCCTGGGCAAACCACTTCTCCTTTGTACAGCAGCATTAGAAGACCTGGCAACAGGTGGGGAATCAGTTTTACCCTCTCTTAACCTCCAATTCCTAAAAGGAACTGACAAATGGATTACAGGATTGATGTGTCCCAAGAGATGCATGATTTTTGAGAGGCCCTTTAGAAGGGCCACCAGCTAATTTCAGGACTGTAACAATTTCCTTGCCTAATATACCCTCACATTCAATCAAGAGAAATTTCATATCATAGAATAGAGGTCTTTTTACAGACCTGGTTACATGTACAGTCATTTCCTTTTTCCTTTGTACATTTTCTCCCCTGTATTTTGTGTGTGCAGAGATGCATACATTCTTACTCCTTTCTGCCATACTTATGGCTTCAGTTTTGATTTCACTGATTGCACACACCAATGTCTGCAAAGCTGCCTTAACTTGAAACAGTTGGGAATTCAAGGTGATTATGCCTTTTTTGTCCTGCAGATACATTGTTTTAGTTAAAAGCCACTCTGGCTGCTCCATAAGAAAGCCAGACACAGTGGTCCCCATTGTCCAACTCTTGGCCAAGGTAGCGTGTATGGATTAAGTGATGAATTGCAAAAAGGGCCTAAAAGCAAAGCTGCAACTTCACAAAAAGGCCATTAAAGGTGAGCGCTGTCGGTAAAGTGCCCATTTAGAATAAGCTTTTATGACCCTCAGTCTTCGTAAGATGTACACGAGCCACAGATTGTTCAGTCTGCCAGACTCTTACTGCTGCAAAGTGACAGATTCTCATCTGAACTTGGCTGGGAGACCTTGCTGGGACCATGGTTCTCTGACTATAACTATCCACTCCCAGCTGGTGAGAGAACAAAACCTTGGTCCTGGTCAGAGACACAGAAGTTTGACAGTGAAACTTCAAGATAAAAAATTAAAAATTAGGAAAAAAATATAACACCTACTTTCTAGCCTTTCCCTACCTCCCTCCCACACACACACACTTAGCCCCACTCAGTTCTACCAAATACTATCAGAAACAATTCTAAGAACCATTTAGCTCCTTTCATACACTCTTTTATATGGTTCTAAGTCTATAAAGCATCTCAGACTCAGTGCTTTGCAGGTTTCTGGTAATTGGAGAGCCTACAGTTGGTAGGAACAAGGACTAAAGAAGCAAGGCAGGCTTATAAGAGATGCCAGGTAGGACAGAAGTCTTCTTGTCATGGAATTTATGGTTGGTCACCACTGTTGAATAGGCTTTTCAGACTTCCTGAGAAGCTCTTAACAAGGCAGTTCCAATTTGTACGCATCAGTTTCTCACAGAGAGGTTAAGATAATTGCTGGTTTGGAACTGAAGTGCATGACCATCATTCCTTCATTTCAGATTGCTTTTAGGATCTTGACTGGAAGGTGTTATAAAGGACTAACAAACATTCACCATTTAGATGTCCATGGTGTGATCCAAGACACCTCTCATTCTTAATATGTCCATGCCGACTTTTTCCAACCAAAGTTTTCCAGTTCCTTCTGAAAGATTAGAAGCAGTTTCCACAGCCTGCTAAAAAACACCACATCTCAAAGTGTGACCACTTCTACAGTCAAATTCAAACCTAACCTAAATATTCAGTCAAATGACTGCAATGCAATTGGAGCAGATATATGTCCTAGAGCAGACAACATGAAAAGTTTTTGACAGCAGATAGCTCCAAATACTCCTCTTTGGGTAGCCCTTTTTTCCCACCTGAGATGGAACAGCAGAAAACTTGTAGATGTGAGGAGGACAACTCACTGAACTGTGACATGCCCTGCCATTCTCCCAACTGTTCCTGCAACCTTTCCTTTTGTAATTTGGACAAGCACATAGGAACAACAGTCAGAGTCAGACAAAACATCTGAAAAACCTCTTAAATAATAGCGTTGAAGTACAAGGGTAGGCAGCCGGCAAACAGAAGGCTTGTCAGCTTGAGGAAGGAAGGGATGTAACACGTTTATGGTAGCTAAACGGAAGACACAGGGATTCACAGTTAACAGAGAGAATGAATAGACAATGAGCAGGACATGAGCATGTGTAAGGATAGGCAAGAAGTTTCTTATGCAGAGGTCTAGACAACAAACCACTCACCAAGTCACATTACTTCCAACAGCATAGCATATAGTGCATTAGCTTCAGTTACTTTCTCAATTCCTCCATCAGAATTCAGGGAGAGGTTTCATAAACAATTTTATCTGTCAATCCAGGAGATTATTAAGTACTTTTAAAAATAGTTTTATAGGCAAAGCAACTTGGAGGGCACAGGAACAACCTGTTTATTTCCACATATTCCAAAGATTATTTTTAAGAATCCCCAAGAGCCCAAGACTTGCGCTACAAACACTTGATTTTACATCAGAAGAATAAACCCAGGCAGGCTAAGAAGGATGCAACAGTGGCCTAAACCTAAACCAGGCTCCTAACCAGGGAACAACAAGCTATTAGCAACCTGATCTAATTTTACAGTCCTTGTACAGCTAGTGCCCTGTGAGAAAGCAGACCTGATACGTCCTTCCCTGGCACAAGGCCCACCACATAACACTTTGCTACTTAAAAGAGAAAAAAAAACACTAATATAACAACAAATACATGAAAAGCTTATCAGCACATGATGATTATTCTTACCTTGTAGGCTACTTCAGCTAAGTAGTAGATCCAGAGGTCCATAGTAGGTCCTTAAGCACAGACTGCTTGTAAATGCCAAACACCATCTAAAACAAAAGCAACCCCACAAACAAACAGAAAAATCACAGCCTAATCAAGAAGACCCCTTATAATACCTGTAGAGCTGATAAATGTTTAGAGATGCACCTGTGGGCATGCATGTGTGAGTACCTGAAAGCTACATGGGACTGGTCAGCAGGAGGGCCAGAGGGTATTTTAGAATCGGCTGACAGCAGACAGGTGGAAACACTGAATGAATCATGTTCTCTAACAAGTAGATAATTGAAGTGGGTTGAGCCTTGTCTAGATTGGGATGTTTTACTCTAGGAACACATCTACGCGTTGTCACCAATACAGTATTTCTTGGGAAAGCCCAGATGGCATGCTAGATATTTCCAGATTCTTATTATTTTTTTTTTTTCCTGGGGAAAGCAGTTCCAAAAAGTGTAATCTCTTAGTTCAAAGACATTCCATCTCCACCTGCTCATTCTGTTCAGCTGAGTGTTGTAGATGATAAAAAGGTTCAGGGTATAGCTGATTTTTAATTCCTCCGTATCAGCTTGTTTTTTCTAATTTTTAGATGGAGAATTCAGTTCTTACTGTGCTTTTTGCACTTGAGTCAGCCTAAGCTGTATGGATCTTAACTAGGAGTTGGTGATGAAATTGTTGTAATGTGTTAGACACTTTTTTTGAAATTCCATGCCTTTATTAGTTATGTGAAGACTTCTAAGAGCACAAAAAATGCAGTGATTACACTTTTTCCTTTTCTGTATAAACAAATAGTTTTTTGAAGTTTACATTGAATAAGACATTTTAAATATCCCAAAACAATGTACACAACTTTGAAGTTCCCTTTGTTGAAAGCTTCCAGATAGGTCAGATGAGGATACAGTTTGTTACCATTCAGAACAACTCCTGACTTTGAATGCGTCTTAGAAAGGGGGACTTCTACCTCTTGAGTGGCTTTATATGTAGTGAATTATAAAGTACAGCTCAAAGAGTTGTGCCACAACGTCCTCTGTGGTGTCTCCTTTCTGCCTGTCTCAAATAGTCAAATTTGATTTCTCATTCCCCACCTCAAGCAGCAGAAGAGATCACACATAATAGCATACTGTGCCACCAGTCCAAGCCCTTCACCCAATCTTTTTTTTTTGTTTTCTTCTGTGGAAAATTAAAGGTTTTGGTTTCAATAATCAAAGCACCTTCCAACAGTATATTCCACCTGCAGCAATCTCAACCTCTGTGCTTATTTTGGCATGTGGATAAGGGCTGGTCTGTACTGCTGTCCATGTCTGGATATTGTGTAGCTATACGGAGTGATCGGCAGCTAGATAGCACGGGTTCTGAAAGACGTCGTGGCAGTGATTTAGGCTGCATATAGGTGTTACCTGGAGTTGAAGACAAGCTAGTAGAGGGCACACAAGTGGCTCAGCTGGCAACATGCAGTTATCTCGAGAACATCTTCCTGAGCTGTAAGCTCACCTCAGGACTGCAACATACACATGTTTCATGGTGTAGCCTGATACTTTCTGTAAGCTAAACGTGTGTCTGAGTTAAGAATACAGATGAAGGAGATGGGACTGAGCCTAATTCTGACTGTTTCTATGACAATGTGGTGGCCATATCAAGTTTCAAAAAAACACAGAGCAGCAGAATCATTATAGGTATTTTGATTGCTCCCTGAAAGAAAAACATGCATTTCTCTCCTTTGGGGGAAACTGAAAGGACCAGTTCACTAACTTCTGTGCAATGCTTTGAAATCTGTAATGTGGTGAACTTGTGAAAGGTTAGATGATGGATTGGAAAAACGGTGGTCTGAAATAGAGAGGGTTCTGCAAGCCAAACCAAATAACTTTACCTAGAAACTGGAGCATCAGATACCTTGTATAGCTTGAGGAAAAAGTTTTCTTGCTTTGGGATCAATAGCTGGAGGTGTTTCTTGGATGTCTCTAATTTAGCCTGAATTCTATTTCCTGTTTTCTCCAGCTATTGGCTGAATTTATTTCTTCAGACATCAAAGACAACAGTTTTGACAACATTTCTCTCTTCACAGCACAATATCCTCTTCTAGCCCTGCCTTTCTGCCCCAGCTGGCTTTGCAGAGATCCCCTTACTTTGGCCTGCATTAGTGCTTCAAATTTGAGTTCCTGCTTCAGTCAAGGTGCAGCCTGTAATTCTTGCCTGCCTCTGTCATTTCACATTTGACTGGGAAGAATAGCCAAGGCTGTGCCCTGTAACCAGCCAGAAGAAGTCTTATGAATTTGATTGCAGTTATTTGCTTCGATGCAGTTGTTTCTACATGAGCAAGTCCCTCCCCACCACCCTCCCGGACATACAGGCTCTCCTCAGCCCTAATGAAGCCAGTCCTTCTGGCTCGGTGCCTGTGTTTGGGGCTTCACTTTGACATGTCATAGCCTCACACATTGCTGTGAAGGTGTTGGAAAGGCACCGCAGCCTCTCTCAGAGCGGTGCTCTTTAAACTTTCCACTGATTAGGGGCCTTTTAGCACTCAACTGGCTTTTCCTAATGGATTTTTCCTTTTCATTGAGACTTTTTTTTTTTTTTCTCTTGCAGGCGTTGCCAAAGTAAACAGGCCTGGATAGCTATTTGGAAAGCAGGGGAAAGAAGAAAGGGGCAGAGAATCAGAACTGGTCCAAATGTGTCCCGACAAGCACTACGTATCAATTGATATGTGTTGAGGGCCAAGTACTGCCAGAATAAAAACCTCTTGGAAAATGAGGCCATTTGTTGAGAGACAAGCATGAGAGACAACTGCAAGAGCTTCTTTTGGACCAGAGATGCCACGCCTGCATCCCTGGGCCTTGAGGGGGAGAGAGGCATGAGGCTGGCATTAACCAGCCCCCTCTTTCCCCCCGCTTCTGATTTATTTGCAGTTTTGAAGTCAGGGAGCATATGAGTAATTCCAACCTTAAAGATTTCAAGCACATCGGTCCTTCACAGCTCTGAAATAGGTAAACTTTGTTCAGCTTGATGTGTAGGAGCCAATGAGGCACTATCATGAAAGAAACTCTCTTCCTTCTGTGCTGACCTGGTCAGTGGCATCCCCACATCTCCTTTTGGAGCTGTTCAGAATTTGGTCCATGCTGATAAAGAAAATTATGCACAGCAGCTCTGATGTTCCCAGCTGGATAAGCATAGCCATTCACTTTTGTGTAGGCCCTGAATGCACTGCAGACATACTGTGAATGTACCACATTCATGGCCTGCATTTTTATCTATCAGAGCTTGGGGCTAAGAGAAAAATGTCCTGGATTTTACCATTCTCTGATTTGCTGCCACAAGGTATGGGAAGAACATGTCAGACCTATTGAAGTTCTTCCTTCCCTGTCCCAGGTCTGTACTGCTTTTGCCTGTAGCTTGGCCAGCTGCTGAATGCCCAGTCTGCTTCCTGCTCAGATTAGTAGCAAGAATTCCTATTTTTCTTCTTCAGCTGATGTTTGTTTGCTGCTGGAAGCTTCAGCTTTGTTTCCTCATGCAGTGCACTGAGGGTTCACCTGCTTTGTTCTGGTCAAAGACGAGCAAGCTCCCAATGCAAATGGGGTATTCTGCTCCGAGTTCCTCCACCACCCAGCGCAATGGTCATGGACAGTCGGGCTCTGACCGGCATTTTCTGGTGCTCACTACTTCCCCCAGCTCCTCTCCCCACAGCAGATCCTCCTGAATGGCCGGGTGCAGGCTCTCGTACGACGTTGATCCATGCCAGGGCTGGATTCCAGAGGGACACCTCCCCACTGCTGGCCTACGGGCATGTTTCACACAGGATTGATGGGGTGTTAATGATGCTACAATTTCAGCCAAGCTTCTTAGACGTGCTGGGTTGGGAATGGGGAGAGCTCGGTTTTTAATCAAAACCTGATGTAAAATAGAGACCTCTACCTGCAGCGCAGCCAGGGGAGCTACCGACACACCTAAAAGAGGGAAGTGAAGGTGGATACCTGCCCGATAGCACCCTACAAAGGCAGCAGTGGCTCTCTGGATTTTACCAGACTCCAGCTTGAATCATGGCCCAGGATGAAACCGTTTTTGGCAGGAAAGCCCTCACCACGGGAGTGGCCGAGGTTCCCACCTGGCACGCTGCCCTGCGCCGTGGAGGAGCCGCATGGAACTGAGCTGCGCCCCGCTCGGCTCCGGCAACGCCCATGCCTCTCACCCCGACAGCCGCAGGCAGAGCTGGGGGGCAGGATGCAGATGGAGCCCCCCCGAGGTATCCCCTCTGCCTCCTCTTCCTCCGCAGGGCCCTGGGAGCTTCAGGACATGCGCCTCTTCAGGTCAGCCCTGTGTGTCAAGGGGTGTAAGAGTGGTTTCCCCTGCCCTGCAGGCAGTTTCCCAGGGCTTGATGCCACCCTACAAGCAGGAGGGAGTGGAGCTGGTGGGCTCTGTGGCTGTTGGGTGTGCTGTGGTCGTTCTGGGGCTGATTGGTCTTGGCTTTGTTTCACAAGACGGGAGAAACCCAGTTTAGGAGGGAGATTTCTCCTCAGTGGGGCTCATCCCTAGAGCTCATCTGTCCTGGCTTCTGCAGGTTTTACAGGATGCTTCTGGGGCTTGTGTTGTGAGAACGATCCTTGCCCTGTTGGGCTTTCCTTAACTTCAGACAGCTCTCTTTTTTTTTCTTCTTCTTCTTTGTTTTTTTTTTTTTTTTCTTGGTGAAGGACCCCATTGTGTTTAGTCTTTTTTATGGGCGTTCCTTGGTTTTGGTCACATTTGTTATTGTTGCGCCTGTCTTTGTAGTTCTACTGTGTTCTTTCTGAACTGGATGGCTACAAGAGTGTGCAGAGCTGAAGCCACAGGGGAGCAGTGTGTGTATGCTAGGGTTGGATTTAGATTTCTTTTACGCTCTCTTCCCCACCTTTACAGTCATGACAGTCCATTTGGTTTTCCAAAGGCATTGTGCTACTTCCCCTCCCGTGGAAATACCTGCAGTGACTTTGGGACCTTTTGCATATTGCATCCTAATTTATGTTATATCTTCAGGTTGTGTCCTAGCTTAGAGCTGATTCTATACCCATGTGTTTTCTGTGTCTTACCATGCATTTTCTGAAACTGAATCACTTCTACCATTTTATTTACCCCTTACTCAACATTCTGGGATCTTTTTGTAAGTCTTTGCTGGAAGTTTTAGTT